TCTAAAGAGAAACTTATTACTGGTGACTTATAGCTACTGGTACAATCTCCACATGTTCTGATTGTAGGAGAGAGGAAATGGGGCCATTAAATACTGAAGAAGGGGCACCATTGGAAAGGCAAAGTAGGGATCAATGGCCCATGGATCCCTCAGGGGAGAAAATCTCCATGAGACTATATAATTATCATATATATCTAATGTCGAAACATTTCTATAATAGGACTAATAGCTAGTGAGGCCAAAGAAAACCATAAATTAAGTTACTTATGTGTGTTTTGGTCCCCTGGCAATTTTGTATGTATGCTAATTAAGATCTCTTCAATACCCTGTTTTTCCCCTATCTCAATGTATGTATATGTGTAAGATACCTGTGTCCTATGTGGGATACCAGCATGCAAAGTAATCTATACCACATAGGTGCAACTAGACACCTCCAGTGCATTGGCATGTCATTCCATAATCAGTTAGTTAAACAACTGTTTCATCCATGCAAGCCTCTGTGTTCCAGTGCCACAACTTCCGTTTTCTAGATCTTGACAAAGATCATTTGTGTTAAATAATAACTCTTTGTCACTGCACCAGCGTTTAAGCACCATTTTTGTGGTGGAAGTTATCAAACAAGACCAACAACACAATTTCAAGAAATGATAAAGTCTAGATGAGGCAAAGTATGTTTCTAAAATCCCTTAGTGTGCCCTCGTTAGAGCAGGTGCGCTCTTTGAGTAAAGTACAATATATATTAAGAATGATGTTGTAACCTGCCCTCTTTGGGGGAAATACGGTAAATAAAGAATGATGTTGTAAACCTGCCCTATTTGGGTGAAATACAGTATATAAAGAATGATGTTGTAAACCTGCCCTATTTGGGTGAAATACGGTATATAAAAATACTGTTGTAAACCTATTTCTTTAAAAATTCAGTATTGTGCACTTCTGGGGCATATGCACCTGATGATACTGGTCTTGCAAAACCATGTTTTTGTGGAAGAGTCACAATATATTGATTAAACTTTTAACCACCTTGTGGAAAAAATGTGGGCTAGGGAGTACAGATGATTAATTATACTCAGAGAAATACACTGTCAGAGTGTGAACATAGACATACATGGGCTGGCTCCTTTATTGTGAGTCAACTGGATTGAAAAATGTCTTCACCATGAATTCATGGTGACACCATTGAGTCCCATACAAAGTTATTTTAGTTTTTATTCCCCGTCAGTGAAAAAAGTATATAGGTAGATTATATTTAAAAAAAAGTTTATATCATATAGCACATATAAATATTTGATGCGGACAATGTCGGGGCCAGTCACCAGTACATAATTACATGCAGAGAAATGTTGATTTTTATAAAAAGTGTTTATTAGCTTTATATAGGCCTCATTGTGGTATATCTCCTACAGGTAAAGTGCACAATAGCAAGTCAAAAACTGTGGTGTCACTGTCTTTGTTCCGTCTGTAATTTTAACGGTGAATATGATCCTATTTCTGTCTGGAAATGAATTAGAATACCAGTCATAAGGAAATTCAAATACAGTATAGCTAGGGTAGAATTAAATGATAGGATTACATTCAAAGCCATGGCTGGAAATGGGTTTCAAACACACAGGTTCATAACAAAATATACAGGTAATTTGCATATACCTTACTGTACCGCATACCTTACCTAAACAAGAATTTTGAATTTTTTCCCTTAACTTATTTGGAAAAAGAATGTTGCAGTTTAAGTAAATATGAATATTCATGGCCAGATAAAGAATCCTTATTTACCTGTATACAAACACGACTCCCTTTATGCTAGCTCTGTGAACATCTCACCCAAGGTTTTATTTACATAACATCATAAATAGTGTTAAGAGATTGTTGTTTAAAATTATAATTGGACACATCTCAATTTTAAAACGAAATTTCAAATTTATAACATCTACATTGTATGGCTCTTAATTATAAGAACATAATTAAAATCAACACTGTAAAATCATAATAAATTGGAAACTTTTAGATTCTTTTATCATATCATCAAGAGTTTGACGTTCTAAAGTCAATGTTGAAGTCTATAAAAATTTCTAGTTTATCTGTTCTATCCAAGTATACATGCATATATATGACAATGCATAATGTACATATGCACACGACAACTTAATCTTCCAGTTTTTTCCATAACTCCAGGTAAAGCTGTGTTATAAACCCTACATGAGGAAAATAAACAACGAATTTACAAGTTTCAAGGTACAATATAATCCCTCTCGATTCAAGAAAGTCTACAATATCACAGGATACTTGAGATTCTGATTCATCGGGCTGTTCTAGGTATTTGCACCTGTTGTGTATTCATAGTCTTATAATGTGACATAACACATACACACACCTGTAAGAGCTAGACCTTTTCAAAACTCTTCTCCCACTCCAAATCTATGGTAACCTACATTTGTACATACTGGTAAATTAACCAAAGTTACATAATATCTCTCTATCCACATATTATGAATACTTGGTAAATAAAAATTATATACAAACTGACATAATTGGCATATATCTCAAGTTTTAAGTATATTTTATGTCAGGAACAAACGTGAACAGTTTTGGTTTAGACGTTTCTTTCGTCATGCATGATATCTGCACATGATTACGAGATAGTGTGTATGATTCACCTGAAGCTAATTCTGAACGTTTGCTTAGATATTCACCTTCAAACTGCACAATTCATGAATAATGGGTATTCAGTTTTAAATATTAAAATCTACAACCCAAGTCATGCCGACACCACTCATTAAATAAAACTGAATAGTGCCAGTGCTTATTCTCCCTAATTAAAATCAACAATTATGTTTAATCTTAATGTCATGTCTGGCAGGTAAAGGACAAAGATTCAAGGTCCTAACACCATATGGAATGCACATATTACACAAACCCTAAAACCCACATTAATCATGTGAATTATGAACATGTTATTGACAGTTGTTAATTCATTTGTTGTATTTATAAATCACGCAGGTATTTCTGTCCATTGCAGGTACGATGTATAATACTTTTACACATATATAGAATATTAAGAAGTTATACCTACATGTTTATTTATCTTGAATATTTCAGGTGTCTATATCATTAGAATACAAAACACACATGCAGGTTTTGGCAATATAGATATACCATGGCCAGGTACATGCGATATACAATACCATCAAAATATAAGCTTTAATCTTGTTTTATATTCTGCCAAGTTTCTACATACCTTATATTGTATTGTACATGATCATATCTCATTTCATATATATATATTGGCCCGATCATGATGAACTACACTATAGTACAAAATTGAATAGCCTGCCAAAGTAAAATCAGCTTGTTTTGTGAATAAAGTTCTTTGTCTATTTACCTAGTAACCTACATAATATAAAATAATCCTGCTTCCTCAATATTCAGTGTACAGAAATATTGTAGTCTTACTAGTTACAATAGGTTAAAATAATCAGTAACTGTTTGAACTTATTTTATATAGTACATACTCTAATAATTGAATCAAGAGTTTTGATGTGAATAAACGGCCAGCATACACATAGCACCTCCCAATCGTTAGTGGGTTGCTGCAGGTGCTTGTAGGGTTGATTGGGAGACATCATTATCACTACCACAGGAAGTGATCTGATGTACAGGCCTCTACTACTGCCCTAGGTCAGATATCCATCTACATTATAACAACCACACGATCATCATTCTGTCAGTAATCCATTGTTTCTATGTGCTATGTAGTATTACAAGCAGCTTGACAATCAGAAATTTATTAACACACTTTTAGATTCATGATTAATCTAAATTATTCTTAAATATCTGTAATTTTTTCTTAGTTCAAGGGTAACATATTTTCTCTCCCTATAACCCCCTAAGTAACATATTTTTCTCTCCTTAACCCCCCTCAAAAACAAATTTAATATAGCTTAATTACTTCACGTGGAATGGAAATTACTTCCTTAGTAATATAAAAGCAGGAAAATGAAATTTAACACTAGTTAAACATCATTCTTTATATACCGTATTTCACCCAAAGAGGGCAGGTTACAACATCATTCTTAATATATATTGTACTTCACTCAATGAGCGCACCTGCTCTAACGATGTCAAATGTAGACATATGTGCTGTCTAATTCAATTTGACACTTAAGTGTTGCCATATCATATCAATTAAATTTTGAAACCTGTTGACAGCACATCAAAATCTACTGTCAGTGGGATATTCTAGTTCCATTGTCCTCTACATAAGGCAATGATGTGAACTTTCAACAATAGCCTGGGGGATCTATAAACATTTGTCAACATGTGTTCATTGTTGTTTGCACTTATTCCTGGAATACATTGCCACCTGTCAATCAGCTATACATGCAGGTTTACTACACTGCAGTCTCAGGAGGAGATAATATTGTAACATTTATTATTAGTGGTTTTTTTTTCTAATATTTGCATGATCAACAATTAATTTTTGAATCAATACCTGGTCATTGCTTAAGAATTCAATTGTTCTTGAACAAAAACACATGCATTCTGAATATTTAAAAAAAATGACTGGTTAGATTCATATTTTTTACAATTACAACAGCGTTTGGAGTAAAAATATTTTCATAAGCACTCAAAACTGAACATAACTTATAATTCCTTTAGCTCTAGCTGTGGCTGTCATGAAACTGCATTAACTCATTCACCCCTAAAGACACATTTGAACTATTCCAATTCAGATGTTGGAATAGTTCATTATGAAATTTCAGGGGTAAATTAGTTAATTAATACAGGTCTATTGCAATTACTGAACCATGATTTTGAAGTCAAAAGGTATTGGCAACTGCGACAAATCACCCAAACACATAATAGTATATGTAGCTTTATAACAGTCCACGTTTATCTCAATTCTTCATTTTCTTAGCAAGAATAAAAAAACTTACCTATATGTTTCTTACAAAAATAAACATAACATATATTTTTGCAATACATGTAAAAATTATGCAACTTACCTGAAACTTTGACTTGAAAGGTGCCGTTTCTAGGGACATCCGAGTTCAATCTATAATCTAGAGTTAACTGTCCTGTCGACTGATTTAGATGAAGGAATTCTGCATCATTTCCTGCAACAAACTCGTAGACAAGTTTAGCTCTGTCTATCTCATCCGGATCAGTTGCAGGGACTCGCCCTATGACTCCTGTGATAAAATTGTCATCGAAGTTGTTGAAAATAATTGTAAAATCCTTTAGAATAGGCTCATTATCATTTACATCTTGGACCATGATTAGTACAAGAGCTTCACTGAAAAACGGATCCGACTTTGCTCTGATCAAAACCTGGTACACCTTTTTAGTTTCTTCGTAATCGAGATATATCAAATTTCTTAGAATTGCTGGTCCCCCTGGACGATACTCTAATTTAAAGAAGTCGGCGTCACCTCCTCCAACTTTTTCGTACTCCACCTCGGCATTAACCCCCTCATCTGGATCAACAGCAGACACCTGAGCGATGATCGATTCCATAGGGATATTCTCCATCACTTTAATTTCAATAGTGCTACTGGGAAAAATTGGTCGATTGTCATTGATGTCTTCAACACGAATTGTGATGATGGTGGATGTGGAACGAGCCGGAACACCCTTGTCCACGGCATAAGCCTTTAGCACATATAGGCTTGTGGTTTCTCTATCCAACGGCTGAGCTACTCGAATTGCCCCAGATGCGGAATCAATTTCAAAATCCCCATCTCCATCATTTCCACCCTGAAATGTGTACTGGACGAATGCATTGTCCTGTTCATCTCTGTCTGTGGCAGTTATTTGTAAGACTCGGAATCCATCTTGAGCATTCTCCACGACACTACCTTCGTAAGCTTTTTGAGAGAACTCCGGGGAATTGTCATTCATATCATTAATAATAACAGTGACATCGGTTGTTGCAGTTTTGGATGGAACACCATGATCTTGGGCAGTTACATAAAACGCTTCTCCTGTTTTCTTTTCCCTGTCTAAAACAACACGCGTGAAAATTTCGCCTGAAGTGGAGTCAATGTAAAATGAGGTGGATCCGTGTAGTTCGTAAGTCAATCGAGCGTTTTCTCCGATGTCGTCGTCCAAGGCCACTACTTGGTACACAGATGTGTCGATGGCGATATTCTCCTCAACGTTGATAGTATAGGGAGTTCCTTGGAACACCGGAGTGTGGCGATTTGTGTCTAGTATAAGAATGTGGACTTCAGCCTCGTCATACTTCCCTCCCTTGTCTGTGGCACGGACACCAAGGACATAACGGGACACTTGCTTGTAGTTCAGGTGTTTGTTAACTTTAATAAGCCCTTCTCCATTGAGGGTGTTGATTCTAAATGCATCATCCTGATTCCCAGATATTATAGAATAATCCACCAGAGCATTGTCGCCACTGTCAGCATCCATGGCTGTCAAACTTAGTATGACCTTGGCACCAGGTTCCTCATCTTCTCGAACAGTCTTGTTGTAAACGCTGTGAGGAAATATTGGATGATTGTCATTGACGTCACTTATTGTTATTGTGACATCCGTTGTTGCGGATCTCACTTCTGTGCCTTTGTCTTGGACTTTTACAACAAATTTATACATATCTCCAGCTTCCCTATCCAACGGCAATTTTACTTTTATGTCGCCCGTATTTTCCTCAATTTTGAAGGGAAAATCAACTGGTGTTAACAATAAAGAGTAAACAAGTTCACCGTTAAGTCCGTCATCTTTATCTGTGGCTTGGACCGACAAAACTGTTGTGTTGACAGCAACATCCTCTTTTACGGAGTGTTGATATGGGGGTGCATAAAAATAGGGGTCATTGTCATTAACATCCAAAACTGTCACCCGAACCACTGTTGTATTCGATCTCATTGGTGAGCCTCCATCTTGAGCACGAATCAACAGGGAATATTCACTCACTTTTTCCCGGTCTAGAGCTGCCTGTATTGACAGCTCACCAGTACTTCTATCTATCTTGAAAGTATTGTCAGTATTTCCGCCAAAGATGCTGTACGATATGATTCTGTTGTCGCCCTGGTCAGTATCAGTTGCGGACACATAAGCAATGACAGGGGAAGAGGTGTAATCGTGACCCTCTGGTATATTGACTGTGTAGAGTTTCTGTGAAAACTGAGGGCTATTGTCATTCACATCCTGTATATTAATGTTGATGGTAGCGGTGGAAGACTTCCTAAGAGATGTCTCGCCCTGATCCATGGCCTGTACCAATAGCTGATAGGAGGCTTTCGACTCTCTATCCAGGAGAGTCTTGGTAGTGATACTTCCAGAAATAGGGTCAATCATGAACGTTTGGCTAGCTGGTCCAGAAGGATTGATAATCCTATACCGAATCTCCTGGTTGTCACCCGAATCTTTATCTGTCGCCCTGACAGACATGATTGTAGTTGAAACACCTATACTTTCCTTGACATCTTGATAAAAAACACTTTTCTCAAATACTGGGGCATGATCGTTCACATCTGTGACTTGAACTGTCAGAAAAGTTTGTGCATTTCTAGAAGGAGAACCATTATCTGTCGCTATAACCTGCAGGTAATGAACGCGGATTTCCTCCCTGTCTAAGCGTTTAGTTGTGTTAACGCGTCCCATGATTGGATGAATGGCAAACATCTCCTTACTTCTCTGGTCACTGGTGGCCTCCAGACTGTAGGTCAATGTTCCGTCGTTTCCTGTGTCGTCATCGGTGGCCGTTATTGTGATCACATGCAAGCCAGGATTCTGTTCTTCTAGAACACTTTTGGTATACATATCTTGTGCGAATGCAGGGGGGTTGTTTATTGTAGTAGCTCGTTTTAAACGTATATGCCTGGAGCCCTGACTTTTTATTTCGTACATGGTGGGGTTGATTTGGACATTCCTTAAGTTATGGATCACAACATTTACCTTCATGTCAGTCTCCATATCTTTACAATACATTATGAGATTAAAATTGAAAGACCAGTTATGACTGTGTAAGCATACCTGCCTGTCTGTGATAATGGACGCAGTTTTCCTGTCGTGAATCAAACTTTGAGTGTCGATACTGTTGACAAAATTATTACATGATCGGAATGATACTGGAATGTGATTATTTATATCTAAAATATTTTGATCTGGTTGAATACAACCATTTTCATTTAAAAAATTGCCATATACCACAATGAAGTATGTTTGCCTTTGATACGTCCGTTTCTGCTTCCTATGGTCTATTGGAGTTAGGCAATGTTCTCCTTGTAGTAACAGGGTTGTAACGGTATGATTAGCGGGCACCTGTCCTCGTGTTTCGTGGGTGTTTTTCCTGGCTAACACCCTATATAATGAGGGACTGTCCTCCTCACATGACACATGTTTATTGAGATACAGGACCCCCGTACTTGAGTCCAACGTCACAAACCCCAGGGCCCGGGCGCTCGTACTGTAAAGGTCTACACTGTAAGACCAGCCCGGCCCATGACTCACATTGAACACTTCACTTCCAATTTCAGCAACACGAGGAATAACAACCGTGAAACACAAACTAGGAATTATATGTAGCATAAACCACAGCACAACACACATACACTTCCCCATTCCGCTTGTTAGAATAACCATTTTCACTATCTACACACAGCAGGACAGGAATCCTACGTCGGAATCCACCCGTGTGTATTATACACAGCTCAGTCCTTACGTGAGGCCTACTGTTTACCGCACGTTCTCAGGTGCCCTCGACAAAACAGCTAGGCCTATTGTCACCGAATACTTATGTATGCTTACATTATTCCATTTTCTCAAACCTTTCCATTTACGAACCAATTCCGTGGACTTGTGTAGAAATCCGGCCTGTCTGTCTCTCTGCCACTGGCACAGCCATCGATTCGATACCGATCACTTCAAAAATGGCTGCGCTGAACTTCAATAGGTTGACAGGCTGTTCCTCGAACCTCCCTATTGTGGAATCAGCGGAGACAGGATACGGTTGGCTGGCGATACGTACGATTGGTTACCGAGTCATCGCACATGTTCCAAAGGAAAGTTTTATTGTTGATGTATTATGCAACGAATATTGACATTGCAATGAAATAGCAGACAAAAGCTAGGGAGGTACACGGAACAGCGAAGTATCAATAATTCTATTAAAACCACGTGACATAATCAAGGTGCTCGATATCATAAGAAACTGGTCTAAGATATCAACAATTGATAAGATTAGCCCAATCACAATAGGTAATCCAATTCTAAAAGATTACTTCTGTACACAGCTTAGGATGTAAACGTCTCTTTAGAATTTCTTACGGAATCTAACTATTGATCCAATTACTAGAGTACTTCAAATGAATTTAAACAATGTGAATTGCAATATGTTGTGAGTTTTTTTATAACAAGACTATAGTTACAGATTTTAAACTGACGATTAAAGAGCAAACTACAATATATAATTATCTTCCGTCTGTTAGCATGTCTTATGTATATGCTATGGCTAGACTTAGGATTCGTTTCTAAAAAAAATATTGTAAATTGATCAAAACGTGAAATATGCTCTTGTGAAAATATATCTTTTCTACTGAATTACGTTTTTTAAGTCATGCCAATTTTAAAGAAGAGAACATGTGAAAATAAAAACTACAAAAATGTCCGTCTACTCGCGTTTTTTTTTAACGATCGGTCAAAGAACGGAATTTTACAATATCACGGACCTATCTAAGTCCGTGGTGAAAATTATTATCTTATCCATATGCAGAACAAATCCATTCAATATGACTTTCAGCAACATACATTTTTTTGCACGAAAAATAAAGTAGATAAAGTAGTATTTTTTTCTCTCGAAATTATGGAACTTTTTAGGACGTGCAATTTCTTTGAAATATATTTTATTCATCGGAAAGCAATTTCGGCTGAAACTACCATCTAATTCTTTTCTTTATCTTTTGGTGATTTAACGATTAGTACAAACAAAATTCGGACGAATAACATTTCATAATATTCATTGGAATAAACTTCATAAGTAATAAAAAGATAATAATGTACAAATTTAAACTTTTGTTACAGCATTCTTCAATAATATTGAATATCCTTAACTTGTACAGAAAAATAAACTTGCTACTATTAAAAATGGCGATATTGTGACAGTTATAGTGGTTAAGTTAATGTGTAAAAGTATTGCGCAGAGTGCAAGGAATACATATTTTTGGGGAGATATCGAAATGGCTGCGAAATTGGTTGAATTTAAAAAGCTTGAATAATATAAGTTCTATAGTAATTAGGTGTCTGAATTTGACACATTTTTGGAAACAAGACGTGATTTAATCGCAAGAAATGTAAATGTTATGTTTAAACTTTGTCATTTACATCTGCAGGAATGTATAAAACCATTATATCAACGTAGTATATATGTCTGTCGTGACACTTTTCCAATCTGTACTCATAAGCATACTCGATAAATCAATCAATCAATCAATCAAAATCAATCATTCAATAACTTATTGAAGTGTCACGCTTCACGCTTATTTGTATTCAGTTTTCAAAATATATCGTATATCAAATGATATTTTGTCAGACGTTCATGAATATGTTTTACGCTGAAATTCATATAGCCTAATAAAATCAGAGAGTAACATGTACATTATTCATAAACTAAGATCTACGGTTATTGTTGCAGTAGAAAAAGTCATGATTTTTTATGTGACTTTTCCGTCGCGGTATCCCATGCATTTAAGTTACAAAAGAACCCTATCAGCTTTTATTATTATTACTGTACCAATTAGCACTTCACAATTGCCCTCCGTATGTATGTTGAATAATACATACTGATATTTTGCCATGAATGGACTTTAACGTTAAAAATGGCTTCCATAGATACATTTTAATGGCCGTATTTTAATTACATTGTAAAATTGTATTTGCACTAAATAAAAGATAAAAAACACGATGGAATAAAACTCAAGTTTAATCACGAAGTCAATCCGTAGACAACACACTCATATATATATATATATATATATATAGAAAAAATAAAATTAACGACCGACTAAAAAATCCGTCGGTCGTTAATTTTATTTTTTCTATATTTACTTCCTTCACATGGACATTTAATCACTTTTTATTATATATATATATATATATATATATCAATTCTATCTTCTTGTAATATGATGTATATGTACACGTAACTGTTCTGTTTCACTGTGTGTTGAAAAAANACCTGCCTGTCTGTGATAATGGACGCAGTTTTCCTGTCGTGAATCAAACTTTGAGTGTCGATACTGTTGACAAAATTATTACATGATCGGAATGATACTGGAATGTGATTATTTATATCTAAAATATTTTGATCTGGTTGAATACAACCATTTTCATTTAAAAAATTGCCATATACCACAATGAAGTATGTTTGCCTTTGATACGTCCGTTTCTGCTTCCTATGGTCTATTGGAGTTAGGCAATGTTCTCCTTGTAGTAACAGGGTTGTAACGGTATGATTAGCGGGCACCTGTCCTCGTGTTTCGTGGGTGTTTTTCCTGGCTAACACCCTATATAATGAGGGACTGTCCTCCTCACATGACACATGTTTATTGAGATACAGGACCCCCGTACTTGAGTCCAACGTCACAAACCCCAGGGCCCGGGCGCTCGTACTGTAAAGGTCTACACTGTAAGACCAGCCCGGCCCATGACTCACATTGAACACTTCACTTCCAATTTCAGCAACACGAGGAATAACAACCGTGAAACACAAACTAGGAATTATATGTAGCATAAACCACAGCACAACACACATACACTTCCCCATTCCGCTTGTTAGAATAACCATTTTCACTATCTACACACAGCAGGACAGGAATCCTACGTCGGAATCCACCCGTGTGTATTATACACAGCTCAGTCCTTACGTGAGGCCTACTGTTTACCGCACGTTCTCAGGTGCCCTCGACAAAACAGCTAGGCCTATTGTCACCGAATACTTATGTATGCTTACATTATTCCATTTTCTCAAACCTTTCCATTTACGAACCAATTCCGTGGACTTGTGTAGAAATCCGGCCTGTCTGTCTCTCTGCCACTGGCACAGCCATCGATTCGATACCGATCACTTCAAAAATGGCTGCGCTGAACTTCAATAGGTTGACAGGCTGTTCCTCGAACCTCCCTATTGTGGAATCAGCGGAGACAGGATACGGTTGGCTGGCGATACGTACGATTGGTTACCGAGTCATCGCACATGTTCCAAAGGAAAGTTTTATTGTTGATGTATTATGCAACGAATATTGACATTGCAATGAAATAGCAGACAAAAGCTAGGGAGGTACACGGAACAGCGAAGTATCAATAATTCTATTAAAACCACGTGACATAATCAAGGTGCTCGATATCATAAGAAACTGGTCTAAGATATCAACAATTGATAAGATTAGCCCAATCACAATAGGTAATCCAATTCTAAAAGATTACTTCTGTACACAGCTTAGGATGTAAACGTCTCTTTAGAATTTCTTACGGAATCTAACTATTGATCCAATTACTAGAGTACTTCAAATGAATTTAAACAATGTGAATTGCAATATGTTGTGAGTTTTTTTATAACAAGACTATAGTTACAGATTTTAAACTGACGATTAAAGAGCAAACTACAATATATAATTATCTTCCGTCTGTTAGCATGTCTTATGTATATGCTATGGCTAGACTTAGGATTCGTTTCTAAAAAAAATATTGTAAATTGATCAAAACGTGAAATATGCTCTTGTGAAAATATATCTTTTCTACTGAATTACGTTTTTTAAGTCATGCCAATTTTAAAGAAGAGAACATGTGAAAATAAAAACTACAAAAATGTCCGTCTACTCGCGTTTTTTTTTAACGATCGGTCAAAGAACGGAATTTTACAATATCACGGACCTATCTAAGTCCGTGGTGAAAATTATTATCTTATCCATATGCAGAACAAATCCATTCAATATGACTTTCAGCAACATACATTTTTTTGCACGAAAAATAAAGTAGATAAAGTAGTATTTTTTTCTCTCGAAATTATGGAACTTTTTAGGACGTGCAATTTCTTTGAAATATATTTTATTCATCGGAAAGCAATTTCGGCTGAAACTACCATCTAATTCTTTTCTTTATCTTTTGGTGATTTAACGATTAGTACAAACAAAATTCGGACGAATAACATTTCATAATATTCATTGGAATAAACTTCATAAGTAATAAAAAGATAATAATGTACAAATTTAAACTTTTGTTACAGCATTCTTCAATAATATTGAATATCCTTAACTTGTACAGAAAAATAAACTTGCTACTATTAAAAATGGCGATATTGTGACAGTTATAGTGGTTAAGTTAATGTGTAAAAGTATTGCGCAGAGTGCAAGGAATACATATTTTTGGGGAGATATCGAAATGGCTGCGAAATTGGTTGAATTTAAAAAGCTTGAATAATATAAGTTCTATAGTAATTAGGTGTCTGAATTTGACACATTTTTGGAAACAAGACGTGATTTAATCGCAAGAAATGTAAATGTTATGTTTAAACTTTGTCATTTACATCTGCAGGAATGTATAAAACCATTATATCAACGTAGTATATATGTCTGTCGTGACACTTTTCCAATCTGTACTCATAAGCATACTCGATAAATCAATCAATCAATCAATCAAAATCAATCATTCAATAACTTATTGAAGTGTCACGCTTCACGCTTATTTGTATTCAGTTTTCAAAATATATCGTATATCAAATGATATTTTGTCAGACGTTCATGAATATGTTTTACGCTGAAATTCATATAGCCTAATAAAATCAGAGAGTAACATGTACATTATTCATAAACTAAGATCTACGGTTATTGTTGCAGTAGAAAAAGTCATGATTTTTTATGTGACTTTTCCGTCGCGGTATCCCATGCATTTAAGTTACAAAAGAACCCTATCAGCTTTTATTATTATTACTGTACCAATTAGCACTTCACAATTGCCCTCCGTATGTATGTTGAATAATACATACTGATATTTTGCCATGAATGGACTTTAACGTTAAAAATGGCTTCCATAGATACATTTTAATGGCCGTATTTTAATTACATTGTAAAATTGTATTTGCACTAAATAAAAGATAAAAAACACGATGGAATAAAACTCAAGTTTAATCACGAAGTCAATCCGTAGACAACACACTCATATATATATATATATATATATATAGAAAAAATAAAATTAACGTCCGACGGATTTTTTAGTCGGTCGTTAATTTTATTTTTTCTATATATATATATATATATAATTTCTATTTTTTTGTTATATTATATATATGTACACGTAACTGTTCTGTTTCACAGTGTGTTGAAAAAAGAGCGGATCGCTCCGAAAATTTGACAACCTAAACTTGTCCACACTGTTGGAATTACTTCTTTGCCCCATGTATATATATATATATAGTCACTCATACATATTTCATACATATGCTTGGTCCGAGATCATTTCACAACGCTTTCTTATTTCTATCACAGTTATAGTGTCGTTCCATGAAGAAGAAGAAAAATAAGAAAAATCTCATTTTTTACATTAGAAGTAGCAGATAATGTAGGTCTATATGTCTCTCGTTGAAGTAAATAGTAAAGAGATAGAGGTGTTTCTATATTATGCAATTACAAACGGGGGATGAAATTTCTGTTAACAACAAGTCTGACGTAGTTGTCTCCCTTGGAACCAATGCCAAGCGTAGAATGTTGGTGCGCACCGCTGGGTATGAACCGATACATCAGCGGATACTTTTAAATACGCCGCTTGGAAATGTTACCAATCGTCTGCTGGATAACTGAACTACTTGGTAGTGACGCGGACTTATTAACCCACTCAAGCCAACAAGAAAACAAACAAATGTTACCAAACTAATCTGACATACGTTTAACTTGATAACGTAACATGCCAATCTAAGGCTTCAAATCAATACGGTAAATCAAAATCAAATCGGGATGGTGAAATAGACATCTGAATGGGATGTTGAAGGAGACATAAAAATAGGGTGTCTGAGGGAACATAAAACAGGGAAGAGAAGGAGACATCAAAGCAGGGTGTTGAAGGAGACATCAAAACAGGGTGGTCGAGGAGGCATACAAAACAGGGTGGGGGAGGAGACATCAAAACAGGGAAGAGAAGGAGACATCAAAGCAGGGTGTTGAAGGAGACATCAAAACAGGGTGGTCGAGGAGGCATACAAAACAGGGTGGGGGAGGAGACATCAAAACAGGGAAGAGAAGGAGACATCAAAGCAGGGTGGGGGAGGAGACATCAAAACAGGGTGTTGGAGGAGACAGCAAAACAGGGTGGTGGAGGAGACATCAAAACAGGGTGGCGGAGGAGACATCAAAACAGGGTGTTGGAGGAGCCATCAAAACAGGGTGGTGAAGGAGACATCAAAACAGGGTGTTGGAGGAGACAACAAAACGGGGTGTTGGAGGAGACATCAAAACAGGGTGGGGGAGGAGACATCAAAACAGGGAAGAGAAGGAGACATCAAAGCAGGGTGTTGAAGGAGATATCAAAACAGGGTGGTCGAGGAGGCATACAAAACAGGGTGGGGGAGGACACATCAAAACAGGGTGTTGGAGGAGACATCAACACAGGGTGTTGGAGGAGACATCAAAACAGGGGGATGGAGGAGACATCAAATCAGGGAAGAGAAGGGGACATCAAAACGGGGTGTTGGAGGGGACATCAAAACGGGGTGGTGGAGGAGGCATCAAAACGGGGGGGTGGAGGAGGCATACAAAACTGGGTGGTGGAGGAGGCATACAAAAAATGGTAGTGAAGGAGACATCAAAACAGGGTGCTAGGGGGACATAAAACAGGGAAGAGAAGGAGACATCAAAGCAGGGTGTTGAAGGAGACATCAAAACAGGGTGGTCGAGGAGGCATACAAAACAGGGTGGGGGAGGAGACATCAAAACAGGGTGGTGGAGGAGACATCAAAACAGGGAAGAGAAGGAGACATCAAAGCAGGGTGGTGGAGGAGACATCAAAACAGGGTGGTGGAGGAGACATCAAAACAGGGTGTTGGAGGAGACATCAAAATAGGGTGGTGGAGGAGACATCAAAACAGGGTGTTGGAGGAGACATCAAACAGGGGGATGGAGGAGGCATCAAAACAGGGTGTTGGAGGAGACATCAAAACAGGGGGATGGAGGAGACATCAAATCAGGGAAGAGAAGGGGACATCAAAACGGGGTGTTGGAGGGGACATCAAAACGGGGTGGTGGAGGAGGCATCAAAACGGGGTGGTGGAGGAGGCATACAAAACTGGGTGGTGGAGGAGGCATACAAAAAATGGTAGTGAAGGAGACATCAAAACAGGGTGCTAGGGGGACATAAAACAGGGAAGAGAAGGAGACATCAAAACAGGGTAGTGGCGGAGATATCAAAACAAGGAGGAGAATGAAACATCAAAACAGGGTGGTGGAGGAGACATCAAAACAGGGTGGTGGAGGAGACTTTATTAGGTCATCTGAGTGCTTAAATTCAGTTCGATAGACCGGAACTTGAAATCTGAACTTCAGATTGTTATATTATCGCTCTAACCGACTGAGCTGATTGGCTTCGTCCAAATGTGCTTCAAAACGGTCAAATACTTACTGCCTGTGGTCGTTTTGTGACCGAGACACATTTTATAAGAGTGTAGATACCTAGATAAGGAGATCGTGACACAGTAAAAACAGTAAAAGGTTTCCCCTTTTCCTCAAAGAGTTTAGTGTATACTAGTGATTTGACAATGCCGACACATGTTGCTTATATCTAACGTTTGATAGTTCCGTCTTTGAAATTCTTTAGTGATTTAGGGAGAATGAAACTAAGAAGAAGGCTGTATGTTCCAAATTTCCTGTTTATATATCAATCACTTAACCTGCCGACGCCCTATCACACAACGAACCCGACTCAGACAAGTTCACTAAATACTTTGTTAAATTAGTTCATTATGCATATCATCCTAGGTCCAAGGGGGACATTTTCCGTTAAGACGAGTATGCTTAACCGATACGAAAATATATTTCTGTAACAAAGTATCCACCGACACTTCGAATAATAAACCAAAATATTAACTACATCTAAATAATTTAACAGTTACGCCATTTTTTATTCTTTATA